TTAAAACCGGAAAAGGTCTGTTTGGAATGTTTTAATCGAAGAATGTAAAGGGAATACAAACAAATGTCCAAATAAATTTTTCTATCGAATATCGAATTAATCTGATGAGTTTTTTTATGAGATTTTTTTCACACAGTCAGATTTTTTCTGAAATCGATTGCAAAGTAGGAGTACTTGAACTCGAGTAAAGTGCTGTAGAATGCAATTAATGCCTATTTATCTTCAGAATCACGTTGTGTTGGAGGATTTTCTATAGGAAAATGTTTCAAAATGTCAATGCATTGGTGCCATGGTTACCTTTCTTTTTCTATTCATCGAGGTTCAACTTCAAAAAAATTGAACGGAGATCTCATGAGTTCACTCGAGATACAGATTTTTTCTAGCCATTTTGAAATCCTATTCCCCCTTGGATCTTTGAATTCAAATGACATGACGCCACAAGTCGTGAAAATTCAAATTTCAAGATCTGTTAATCAAATTATATGCAAATGAATGCGTCAATGCTTGAAAACCAATAATAATCCGATTTGAATGAAATATAATTTATTCTGTAGTTTTTTTTTTTTTTTTTGAATACTTGAATCGTTCGACCATGATAAAGTGTTTATTTTTCTCTTGAAATTGTTGGAAAACAAGTTTAATATAAAATTAATTATTTGTTTTGAACGAATAAATTTCGATTGACGACAAAACTGTGCTTAAAAACAATTTTCGATCCAGAAAACCTTATCAGTCAATTTTAATATTATAAAGAAGAAGCAATAACAGAATGAATGGAAAGAGTTTTGTAATTTTCGTATTGGTGAGTAAAATAGCACAGTTCCTTGAGAGATTCCCATTAAAAATGAGAATCTTTTCGAAAAGTCTTAAATTACTGCTTCAAAATTCAAACAGGCTACAGTGACGGTCTGTGGAAATCCAGATGATCCCGTGTGTTTGACAACAATTAGTAGAAGAATCCCATTGATACCAGATCTACAGATCGCCCCAGCTACCGAAGATCTCGGCAAATGGATGAAAAAGTACTGAATCTTAAGATTACGTTAAAGTTGATAATAAAATTGAAATTCATTTGAAATTTATCGCTTAGATGCTGTAATCGAACGAAATATGATCCCGTTTTGGAAAGTAAATCATTTGCTCTCCTTACAAATAGGTTTGACACGATCATTTTCACCGCCTTTTGATGTTGTTTAAGAAAAAAATGTTTTTTTTTAAAGTAAACTGGATCGTATCGTCGTGACAATTAAAGACTTACTCACTGGCATTATGAATAGAGCTCGATATACAGACTTGGAATTCGACACGTAAGCTTGAAAACGCATAAATTTAACAAAATTCTATGTAATACTTTACTTTAACAGAAATTTCAACAAAGTCGCCCATTCATTGCATGGGCTATTGTAAGTTTGACCATCTTTTCTGCCTTGTAAATTTAAACAATGTGAGAATCACTAAGCAAATTTGAGAAACTGATGTAATTTTTGTATCTTTAAAAAAGACTGGAGTCACCAAAATTAAAGGATCCCATTGAAAAAATCTGCTATGATGTGCATGCAAATATGTGTCGAATTAAACCAACGCTTCACAATGCAGGCATGATAAAAGTCTTGAAATATGCTGGATTTGAAGGGTATAGCAATTATTTGGCGGAAAAAGACTATGGAAATCATCAAATTGAACATTCACGATCGAATTTGATTCGGATGCCGTTGGTGAAAGCTGCCAAAATTGATGTTAACGATGCCATCAGGTCAATTAACCGAATCGATTGGCTGTACAAGTAATTTTTGTTTGAAAATGAATTTTGTGGAGTTCGATTAGTGAATTTCACAATGTAGAGACTGTTTCTTAGAGCAATATATGTAAATTTTTAATATTTTGCTCTCACTGCTCAAAAACTTGAGATTTGCTCTGAGAAATAGTCTCTGGTAAAGAATTATTCATTGGTGGGCACCGATGCGCAGTTTCCGAAGAACCTACTCTGAAGCTTCTCTATAGCGTGCCTACCTATGATTGAATTATTGATGATTAATTGACGTTCTCCCTTCATTTCAAGTTGTACAATGCCCGGTGCCGAGGATGATATAGCGCCAATCGACCTTACAAATTCAATACCAAATGATGAAGTCGGGCAAGTATAACTTATATTCACTGAGTGTATTGCACTGACCTATAATTTTTTCAATAAATGTGTGCTTTTTCAGTGATGACCTCCGTTACGTTGCTGATGAAATCAATAAAATCGCTCAAGACTTTGAAGCGTCTGCTAAAAACGGCAACTATCAAAATTTCGACAGGTTAACAAATTACAACGATCTAATTTAGAAGTTTTTGATTTGAATTTTTATTTTCACAGTGACAAGAGTAGATTTGATACCATTGCATCTGTGTTGGCCGGCATTTATAATAACAATTAGTGAGTATTGTTTTCGTTTGCTTTGAAAATTGAAATAAAAATGTGAAAATAATTCCAGTGAACATGCTCGAAAGATGTTTCATGTCGACTGTGTGTGCCATGACATGTACAACATTTTGACCTTTATGAAAGCCTGCGAACCACGAAAGCCAGTGGCTAAAAAACGTCTATTTGGATTGTTATCATCGAATAAGGTTGAACCAGAGAACAACAAAAGGAGAAGAAGATGAGTAAAAATCAACAGGCACTTCTTTTTATATACACAAGGTGGTGTTTAATTCATTACTTCAATGGTTTTTCCATGTTTTTATATATTTTTTCCAAATTAAATTAAATTATTGATTTAATGTATTTCCCTTTTTATCAACCGTATATTGCATTAAAAGCGTATTGTTCACTTCGGTTTTGGGAAAATTTCGTTGTTTTGTTCTTTTAGATGTTTATTTTGTTACACGTAATGCATTTCCATTCAATCAAAACTGAGTTTAATTTGTGACTCATTTTATTATTGAATTGAATCTAATGACACCAATGACAATTCAAGGAATTGGTGAGTAATAGATAAAATAATAGATAGATAAGACTACCGTTTACTATAATCAGCTTGGTTAAATCAGATTAAATTTGAGGCGGTGTTTGTTTTCTGTTTGTTTTTTCAATTTGAAATCGAAAACCTCTTGAAATACTTTTTCCAGTGTGTCCATAACATATAGAAATAGCACTAAATAGTGTCGATATCTATACTATATCGGTGCACTATATATGTAAGATATTCCGCAAGACACCGTAGCTCACGATCGAAGTGAGTGCGGACGGCAAACATGTTGACGCATACACACAGTTCTTTCTACAGCCGCACGGCAATTTGTGATTTTTTCCGTCTACACTGGATTCGATCGTGCGATACGGTGCCGTGCGGCAATATCTTTCATATATAGTGGACCGGTATAGTATAGATATCGACACTATTTAGTGATATTTCTATATATTATGGACACACTGACTTTTTCAAATGAATATTTATCAGCTTATCACAAAAGCACAGACTTTTAGATTAGATAAAGCGTGTTTTTCATACTCGCTGTTTATAAATAGCTTTTGACGGCCGATAGTGAATATTATTCGTTTTAGCTGTAATGTTTGAATTATATGGATACCTTAAAAAGTGAATCTAGCGTAGAATCAATGTGGTATAATTGATTTAAAATGAAAAGGGCAAAGGTGTTGAGATATCGAAAAATATTGGTTGGATTAATCATTATTTCGATAGTTCTATTGCTTATTTTAATCTATAAAAATGTGACTTCGTCAAAAAATTTCAATTGTAAAACTATTGAATTCAATGAAATTATAATTTATGCGAAAGGGGAGCTTGAAAAAATTGAAAAAGATAAAAAATGCTACGAACTTCAAAATCCCACTGGAAACATAATATTTCTTGACGACATAGAAAAATCACCACCAAAGCCGGACACGTCCATTTTTTTTATTTCGACATCGTGCATTAATGATGGACTGGTTGTGCTCAATGCAAGGTATTAAATGGACTCCACCCAAAGGACTTCCAATGTAACCCTTTATTAGGGAGCAGTTCTGTTTTGAAATTCGGCTACATTGAATTTAGTTTGTTTACTCCCATAGAGAAGCCTGTGCAGTTGAGTCAGCCGCAAGTCAAAATCCAAATCGTGA